GAATCCCCCAAAATCCATTTGGATCCACTTGTCCTTACACAGAAAAACCCCTCCAGCAGGATCCTTTCCTCAAATCCCCAAACCCAATGGAATTCTGCCTGGAATCCTGCAAAATCCATTTGGATTCCACCTAGAATCCCCCCAAATCCACTGGGATTCCACCTGTCCCTACACAGAGAATGCCCTCAGCTGGATTCTCAACCCCAAACCCCCTTCCCTGGGAAATTCCTGAAGCCACTGCGATCATTCCCACGTGGATTTTTTTAGGGGGGGATTTTCCCTCACGACCCTGTGGGATGGACGGGGAGGGTTGGGGCCACTTACAAAGGCACTGGGGGAGGGCTCTGTCCCACGTGCCATCGCCCTGGCACGTCAGGACGTGTGATCCCAACAAATAAAATCCGTGGATGCACTGATAGGACACGGTGGTGCCGAAGCTGAACCTGTGGGGGCCGCTCGGCTGCACTTGCCGGACGCTGTTTTCCAGGTGCCCGGGGTCAGAACAGTTCACAACTGCAAACAAACAACAGAACAATACCCAAAAAATAACAGGAAGCAAAGGGTGGGGCAGAAAAAGGTGGGGTTCTCCAAAAAAAAAAAAAAAAGCAGGAAAAAAGGTGGGAAATCGAAGATTTTATGCTGTGATTCAAGGTGGTTTTTTCCCCCCCCTGCAAGATTTTTTGAGGGTGAGAGTGGAAAAATTTGTTGTGAAAAGGGGGGGAAAAAGGAGTCCAGGCAATCCTGCAGGTTCTCACCCAGCAGCAGAGGCTGGATCTCTGGCCCCAAACTGGGATTTTGATTATCCAGGTGGGAAAAACTGATCCCAAACTGGGATTTCCATCATCCAGCAGGGAATGACCGATAATCCAGCATGGCCGGAGATCCTGGATGTGGGGAATGCAGAGGGAGGGAGTGCAGGGAGGGGAGGGGATTTGGGAAGTGAACCTGAGTGCTGATCCCATGGGAAACAGGGAAGAGGGCTCTGCACAAAGCTGTGGGAAGATATTTCCTGGGAAGATAAACGAGGAGGTTGGACAAGGTGATTTGGGGGGAGCAGAGGAGAGATCCTGATTTTCCATGGATTGTGACCTCTAGGATTGTGACCACAGGGTGTGTTCATAGGGTTGTGCTGCCTTTAACACCCTCTAACCCCAAATCTGGGTCTGATCCCAAATTTCCAACACCTCGGAGGTGAGAAAATCCCATGGGGATTTCCAGCATCCCTGGGATCTCCAACATCCTCTGGGTGGTTTCCAGGGATTTTTGGCTTGGGAAGATGGAGAAATCCCAGAGGAACGGCCAGACTGACCTCGGCAGGAGGGCAGGGTGCTGCTCCACTGGCCGTTGGCCAGGCACTGGGATTGGGAAGCTCCCTCCAGGCGGAAGCCGGGGTTGCACTGGAATTTGGCCACGTCGTTGAGGTTGAACTGGGAGCCCTGGGTGAGGCCGTTGGGTGGGTTGCCAGGGTGGCCACAGGTGATGGCTGCAAGCACAAAATGGAAATAAATCACTGGATTCATTCCTGGAGAGAAAGTGGATTATTCACTGGGAAAAGTCGTGAAGGGAGGAGAGCATAAAAACCCCACACATCAACCCCAAACCCAAAGATTCGGGGCCTGTTTTGTTGAGATACAGGATCGCTTTGAGAGAAGGAGATTTTTGTAGGTTTTATTGGCACCAGGAATTCCCTGCATCCAGGAATTCCCTGCATCCCTCTCCAGGCAGCCGAGTGCCAGGATCCCATTGATTTACACCACATATCCCCCTCCAAAAATCCCAGCTCTTACTCTTAATCCCACACCAAACTCTGTTGTTCCCTCCCTTTCTCCCCTGGTTGCTCCCTGCAGGGAAAAGTTACACCTGGAAGCAGGGGAAAAAAAGGGAAAATAGGAGGAAAATCAGAATTCCAGCACAGGACCTGAAGAGATGAAAGTCTACCCAAGCAGAATAAAATTTGTGGGAAAATTTTACTTCCAAATCGCTGAAGTGAGGATTTTTCTGGAGTTTTTTTTTTCCTGAGGTTGGTGTTGGCTCAGGATGAGGTGAAGGGCACAGGAGCTGCTCTGGCAACTCCCAGGGAAGCAAAGCCAATTCCAGCATCCCAAATACTTCTGGGAAGCGGCTGGAACACTCTGCTGTTACCTCAGCGGGTGACACGGGGAGGGCACAGCCCTGCTGCTGGCAGAGCCTTTGATTCCAGCCAGCTCCACGGCAGAAAAGGAAGCTCAGGATGAGCCAGCAGGAGATTCTTGGCTGCCTAAGGAATGTGACATCCTGGGACAGCTGAGGACAAAGCTTTATGGATCACTGCCACACGGAATGTCCTGGTTTGTCCATCAGGACCAATTCGGGATCCCTGGACAGCTGCCAGCAGCAGGAGAGTGAAGGGAGGGTGAAATTCCCACAAAGGATCCATAACAAATCTGAGTGCCCAGGGCACGGGGATTGGGATTTGTTCCTGATCCAAGCTGGTGACAGGGAGAAATGAGAAATGTGGAGTGCTGCAGGAAGCGGGTTTGGGATCTCATCCCACGTGTTTGGCAACGGGAGGGATTCTGTGCCTGGATAAAAAAAGGCTTCCCACAGTTCCACGGATCCAACAGAGGTGACTGCAGCAGGCCGGGAGGGGAAATGCCAGGAGAACTGGGAATGCTGCTGTGCCCTGAGTGGGGTCAGTGAAGCCTCACCCCACCAGAGCTCAGATGGACAATCCCAAATTTCTGTCACCCCCGAGGCCTAATGTGTGTAATCACTCAGAATTCCAGACCGGTTTGGGATGGAAAGGAGTTTAAAGCCCATCCTATTCCAGCCCCTGCCATGGGCATGAGAGTAAATCCCACCCTTTCCAACCATTCTTCTCCCAAAAATCTCCAGCAGGAGCTCAGACACCCCCCAGATTTTGGATCACCGGCGACTTTATCAACTTAATCCTGAATTTTTGTTTTCAGGCTGGATTTGCCTGGTCATTCCCTCCTTCCTATCTTGTTCTTGTGTGCCCCAGCACAGGAAGCTCCAAACCAGACAGGAGAGATGGGAACGAACAGCTGGAGCACCAGGATATGAAATTCATGGATTGTGCTGCCCTTTGATAAGAAGATGCTTCAGCTTATCAACACCTGAGAGCTGCAGGGAGTTGGTTAATTGGGTTATTTCCTGGGAGGATAAACCAGGAGGTTGGACAAGGTGATTTGGGGGGGAACAGAGGAGAGATCCTGATTTTCCAGGGGCATGGAGAGCAGCTCTCAAGGATGGTGACCACCAGGGCTGTGCCTGCCTTTATCACCCCCTGACCCCAAAAAGTCTCCTCTGCTCTGACCCCAACACCTCCAGCTGGGTGTGGGAAGGAGAAACCCAGGGGAATTCTTGAACCACAAAGGAGCTTTTCTTGGAGAGACGCAGGGATGATCTTGCAAAATGTTGCAGTAAGGGAGAAAAATGATAAAAGAAAAGATTTATGAATTTATATAATTTTAAAATCAGGCCTGCTCTGTTGGATCAGTGGCTGGCCTGTCAAGCCAGTTCCCTGGTGTGAACAGCTCATTAACATAACAATCTATTCCTGGGTGAAAAACAACTAGCACCTGCATAAACATTAAATCTATCCCATGAGAATCCGGGAAGAAAATATGTAAACAATTTAAGAATAGAAAGATTTGATGGACAATTAAAATACCTTTTGGACACCTTTCACTAACCAATAAATTGGCCAGAAAGCAACTAATTGGAGTCACACACGAGGTCTGTGAAACTGTATAAAAATGAGTTATGTGGATAAAGAATAGGTTTTTTCCTGCATGAAGAAAATGGATTAATTTTATTTATTTATCACAAACCCCCGTGTGATTTATTCTGATAGAAAAACGCCCTGAATGTGCATGCATGACTGTCCCACACCTCAGGGGTGTGAGCTCTGCCCAGCCCTTTCCACAACCCCTTCCACAGCCCCTTCCAGCCCCTCCTGGCTGGAATTTTCCCTCCAGGGCTGAAGGAATGACAAGTACTTACGCACACAGACAGGCGTCTTCCCGGACCAGCGGTGGTCCTGCTGGCAGATGCGCACGGACATGCCGATGAGGCGGAAGCCGGGTTGGCACTGGTACACCACGCTGCCCCGGTAGTTGTAGTTCTCGCCGTTGATCTGCCCGTTCACGATGGGGCTGGGCACGCCGCAGTGCCCGGCTGCACGAGGGGGAATCACCTCGTTATGGGTAGCAAACATAACTCGCGCCGTTCCTTATATAAAATGTGTAATGTTGGATATTTGTTCGATTATGCTGGTTTGTATTAGCACCCCCATCCTCGCTGGTGAGACTGGGTGTATATTAAAAACTGATTAGAAACTGATTTACAATAAGAGGGTGAGGCTCAGCCAAAAATGGGCCATGTCTGGAGAGATACGGGGACCCCAGGTGCTGGTCATGGTGTAAATGACCCAAAATGGATATCACAGAAATCCTTGGGCAGATATAGGTAAATACCACACTCCCATAAACTTCATCAAGGGATTCAACAACTCCAGAACTGAATTGTTCTTCCTCATCACCAAAAAAAAAAAAAAAATCTTATTAACCTATAGTATCTGAATGGAAGGGCAGAATTTTCCCTATAAAAACTGCTTGTGCCAGGATGGAGGGGTGGGCACAGAGGAAAACCTGTGCTGAGGCTGACCCCTTGTTGCACACCCAGGGCCGACCCCGGGCTCGGCTCTGTTCTTTCCTTGTGGCTGGCTAGATAGAATTTAACTGCAAAATAAGTATTTTATTTTTCATTTTAATTTGGCTGGACAAATTTTCATTTACAGCAACCTGGAGAGTCCAACAATGTGTCCCCAAAAGGCATCGCCCACTGCCGGGGTCTCTGCGGGATTGGGGTGAAGAGGAGCCCAGGCTGGGTGGGGTTGGGAAAGGAATGTAAGGATTGTCCACAGGGACACTTTCCACCATCCCTGGTCACCCTGTCCCCTTCCAGAGATGGGACAGCCACAGCTTTTCTGGGCATGGATGGAGTTTGGAGATGCCCAGGCTGCTTTGGATTGGAAGGGAACTTAAGGGTTGTCCACAGTGACACTTTCCACCATCCCTGGTCACCCTGTCCCCTTCCAGGGATGGGGCAGCCACAGCTTTTCTGGGCATGGATAGAGTTTGGAGATGCCCAGGCTGGTTTGGGTTGGAAGGGAACGTAAGGGTTGTCCACAGGGACACTTTCCACCATCCCTGGTCACCCTGTCCAACCTCTCTCTCCTTGGGCACTTCCAGGGATGGGACAGCCAGAGCTTCTCTGGGCATTTGGAGATGCCCAGACTGGGTGGGGCTGGAATGTAAGGATTGTCCACAGGGACACCTTCCACCATCCCTGGTCACCCTGTCCCCTTCCAGAGATGGGACAGCCACAGCTTTTCTGGGCATGGATAGAGTTTGGAGATGCCCAGACTGGTTTGGGTTGGAAAGGAATGTAAGGATTGTCCACAGGGACACCTTCCACCATCCCTGGTCACTCCAAGCCCTGTCCAACCTCTCCTTGGACACTTCCAGGGATGGGACAGCCAGAGCTTCTCTGGGCATGGATGGGGTTCATGATGCCCAGGTTGGGTGGGGTTGAAAGGGAACGTAAGGGTTGTCCACAGGGACACTTTCCACCATCCCTGGTCACCCTGTCCCCTTCCAGGGATGGGGCAGCCCCAGCTCCTCTGGGCAATCCATACCTGCTGTTCATAGTGAAGAACCCATCCCAACATCCAACCCTGTCCTCTCTCAGCTCCAGGCTGTTAACCAGACTCTGCTGCCATGAACAAACATCCCCAACCCAAAACTCTCCCTCACACCCACTGAAGATGCAGGAATCAAACTCTCCCTCCCTTTTACATCCACTTCAAACGTCACATCAGTCCCTAAAACCCGTGTCCCCCCCGAGGTGCCCTTCCCACAGCCCCTGGGTGCCAGCAGGAGCTTCCCAGGGATACCTACCCAGGCACCGGACCTCAGCCCCGCTCCAGAGCCCGTTGGCCATGCACTCCCGGACCCGGGAGCCCACCAGGGTGTAGCCAGTGTTGCAGGAGAAGATGGCAGTGGCCCCGTAACTGGTGAGCGTCCCGATCTTGTTCCCGTTGGGAGGGGTGGGCAGGTCCCCACAGGAGATAACTAGGATAGATCCCAAAGGATAGTCAGAGAGCAGGCTGGGCTGTGGAGGAACGCATCCAGGCACGGCACCAGGAGTTATTGCTGGAGTGGGAAAGTTCATTAAATAATTCCAGGAATTGTAATCATTCCAGACCCATGTTGGACGAGGTGACAAAAATAAGAGCTGCTGATATTCATGCTTCAGGAATGAGGGAAGCACTAAAGGCAGGCTGGGAAGGAACCAAAGGATTTTTTCACACCAGGACTTCCTCACACAGGAATGTTTTTCTGCCATTACCCATTGCTGGATGCAGCAGGAAGCCTGATTCCCAAAAAACCCACAGAATCATGGAATGGGGTGGGTTGGAAGGGACCTTAAAAGCCATGAGTGGGGACATCTCCCACTAGGCCAGGTTGCTCCAAGCCCTGTCCAACCTGACCTTGGAATGGCACGACATTTCCAATTAAAAGTGACACCCAGCTTTCCCCCACAAGCCAAACCCCAGGATCTGCAGATCCCAGCTGCATTTGTGGGATGCAGGAGCCCCTGCAAACCCAACTCCCCCTCACAGCTCTTGATTTTATCTTCATTTTCTCTGCCTTCCAGCTCTGCAAACCCTCCGGAGCTCCCGCTGGGTGCTCCTGACCTCGGGGCACTGCCAAGATCCTGTCACTCGGATTTAGGTGGCAATGAGGCTGAGGGAACAAAAGGAGGTCAGGCTCCTGCTCCCGGATCCACAGGAAGAGCTGGCAGGGGGAAAAGTACATCTGTCACCCACGCCAGCAGTCACAGCTCCACAAACAAAGGCAGGCAGCAGGGAAGGAGAGATTTTGCAGCCTCTGCGTGCACTTGGAGACAAAAACCCTCCACCTCTGACAAAAGGAGAGCTGCAAAGCACAGCAGTGGTGTCAGAACAACTGAGAGCTGCTGGCGTGCCCCGTTGGGTTTGATTTGCAGGTGACACTGTTACCCTTGTAAACCTGGTGTTCGTGTGAGAGCTCAGGCTTGACAGCAGAATTCTTTATTTTCCCTCCTTAAAAGCCCTGACTTCAGAGCAGCTGTGACAGAGAAGCTGCTGGGACCCCACAGCAGCAGCTGAGCTGAAGGGCTGGAGATCCCAGAGAAGTGCTGGGATTAAACCAGGAATCACATCCAGACGTCTCCCTGCATCCCAGCTCTCTTCCAGCAGCTCTGTTGTCTCCACCTCAGCTGCTGCCAGGAGTAATTAAATCCCACCCCACATCAGGGACAGCTTCCACTCTCCCAGGTTGCTCCAACACAGCCTGGGACAGTTCCAGGTGTGGGTTGGGATGGAAGGGATGGGGCAGGCACAGCTCCTCTGGGAAATCCATCCCAGCCCTTCCCTGCTCTCACAGGAAAGGATTTCTCCCCAAAATCTGCACCAAACCACCTCAAAAATGCCCAACAAACCAAACCACGCTCCACCTCAGCTGCTGCCAGGGGTAACTAAATCCCACCCCACAGCAGGGACAGCTTCCACTCTCCCAGGTTGCTCCAACATGGGCTGGGACACTTCCAGGGATGCAGCAGCCACAGCTTCCCTGGGAAATCCATCCCAGCCCCTCCCTGCCCTCACAAGGAAGAATTTCCTCACAAAACCTGGACCAAACCCTCCCATCCTGTACCCAAAGGGCACCATCTCCTTGGTTATCCATGGAGATATTCAGCACCATGCTGAAACCCCCAGGATTTGCTGGAATTTGCTGACCCCAAACATAAAAGCAGCCCCTGGTGATGCTGCCCTGGGAAATCCATCCCAGCCCCTCTCTACCCTCCCAGGGCTGGAATTCCTCCCAAAATCTGCACCAAACCATCCCACCCTGTACCCAAAGGTATGGCTCACGCAACAGCACCATCCTGAAACCCCCAGGGATTTGCTGACCCCAAACATAAAACCAGTCCCTGGTGACGCTGTTCTGGAAAATCCATCCCAACCCTTCTTTGCCCTCCCAGGGCTGGATTTCCTCCCAAAATCTGCACCAAAACCTCCCATCTTGTACCTGAAGGGCACCATCTCTTTGGTTATCCATGGTCGCCCATTAGCACCATCCTGAAACCACCAGGATTTGCTGACCCCAAACATAAAAGAAGTCCCTGGTGATGCTGCCCTGGGAAATCCATCCCAGCCCCTCCCAGGGCTGGATTTCCTCCCAAAATCTGCACCAAACCCTCCCATCCTGTACCCAAAGGGCACCATCTCCTCGGTTATCCATGGATATATCCAGCACCACCCTGAAACCCCCAGGATTTGCTGACCCCAAACACAACCCCAGCCCCTGGTGCCACCCCGGTGCGTCCCTGCTCTTACTTTTACAGGTGGGCACGGGCTGCCCGATGCTCCAGGTGCCGTTGGCCTGGCAGCTGATCACCCTCTGGCCCGTGTAGTAGTAGCCAGGGTCGCAGATGAGCATCAGCTGGGCGTTGTAGTGGTAGTGCACCTCGTAGGTGAGGCGCCAGCGGCCGTGCTCCACCGCGATGCTGCCCACGTCGGGGCACGTCACGGCTTTGGGGGGGAAAGGGCACAGAGAGGTGGTTAAGTGCTGCCCTGATTTTTAAAAGTGTTTTCTTTTCTAGCTCCTTTAAAAGTTTTCCACGCTTTCTGATGTTTATGTATTTCTACTGGAGTTCTCACACGCTGTTCATGTAAATAATGATTGTTTTGCATTCTTCTTTGTGGGAGAA